GGCAACGCGGCGCCATGGCAACGCGGCGCCATGGCAACGCGGCCTAGCGGGGCCCGCGCCGCCTGCACCGAATTAATGCCCGTAATTATCGTTATCCCCGCTCCAAAATCGGGTGCGGGCCTCTGCTAGAAACACAATTTTCATCTCAGTGTTTTAATAAGCTAAAAATTGCATCTTTGGTTGGAGAAACAATCCCCCTGTCCACAACTAATCAGGGAAGGGATGACTCTTCTCAAAACTCAAGACGATAAAAAAACCCATTGCACAGCATGTGTGGAGGTTTTCAACAGGGGGCTATGAAACATTTGGGCTTTCCAATGGGTTTTGTGTTAATCATGCATTTTAACCCCCTTTTGCAGCACCTGAGTTTTCCATCACCTGCATATACAGACTTAAAAATCATCATTACATTAGTAGAGGTTGAGGGGAAAACGAGGCTAGGAACAGATCTGGACTCTTGGCCTGCTCTTTCCTGGGTACTTCCTTCCTTCTTGGCCACTAATACATAAAATGCTTCAGTCTTGCACATCCTTTACATCTCTATTCACAGCTGCAGTTCTCATGGCTCCCCATATTACATCCAAGTTTTGTTTTTCCCTATTTTTGCACACATTATAAGCAAGAAAAAGAGAAACAGTTACAATAGAGGAGTCCAAGTGCATCAAAGAACTGGAAATCCTACAATACCTGTTAGTTAGGAATTTAAAAACTGCAGAACCTAAGATATTTTAGAGTGCATTTTATTCAGGAGACGAATTGTGTGGGTAAGGATGGAAAAGATGGATTACAGGAAAATTAAATGTAGGGTTTAACTGAGAAATAATCATTTTCTATGAAAGATAATGACTCCTCTTGAGGCTAGTATCAAGATTTATTGACTCAGGAGGTTAATATCGATCAAAACCAAGGCAAACAAAATATTAGACCTTGAAGTAGAATAATCTTGATATTGAAGTCTTGCCAGTGCCTGAACAGGTCAATATATCTATGTGCTGGAATCTAAGGTTTTGAACACATCATGGTGGAGGATATTAAATATTTTTGACACGTTCTGGGAAAATGCTTTCTATTCCCATCAGCTGCTGTTACTTTATAGCTATGTCCTTCTGTATATGGCCATCTTACAAAGATCTAGGCTTCACTCACAAACCTGATTGCAAATATAATGGTTATTCCTCCTCAAGTGCAATAGCCAGGGTAACATAAGGCACCACCTTGGAAAAAGGCAAGTCCTTCATCAACTCACATATATAAATTATTTTTAATAGCTCTCATTCTAAATACACAGGAAGGATGCTGATGATGCTGGTATGAAACTATACTGACAGCAAACTGTGGAAAAAATGTAGAGCTTCAATATATAGATTTGCCTCTGTATCCAACAATTTGTCTACAAGTCTGGGATGAAAAAAATTATTGAATTAAATTCTACCATAAGGTGACAAAAAGAAAACATTTATCTTAGAACAAATAACTTATCTGGACTAATTAATCAATGAGGATAAGGGGAGGAGGGAGATAATTCTCACCCAAGGAGGTAAGAGTTCATCGAATGCTGCATTTCATAAGTATCATCTTCTGCAGGGCCCACACGTCAGAATGCCTCACACAGGACATGAAAATAGTGTAAAGGATAAGATTTAAGCTTCTCAGGCTAGGATTTGCCTTTTGATTTCTGTTCATATGGTAACTAGCTAAAAGGAGCTTAAGTGGCCCTAGAATTCATAGACAGTAGAAGTGTCTACAGTATTGTCTGAAATCAATGGGAATTTCAGGAAAAATAAATAAAAAGTGAAAGATACATTTTTATTTACTCAGAAAGCAAACAATTCCGTATGAAAATAATTATTTGAACCCACAGTATTTAAAAATAGGAACCCCAAATGAGTTTATATTCTGCTTTTTCACTAAAACTAGATTATGTATTGTGATTTTAAATACATTTTAATTTAGTTTATATGTAATTACCTGGCTTTTATTTCATTTGAAAGATGCCATGAATGAAGATGATTTGAATAAATAGAATCTACTTAAATATAAGTATTCAGTAATATAGAATTTATGAATACCAGCAAGATAAATAAATATTTGCATAGTATTAGAACACTATTAAATATTAACTTTTCATTGGTCTTCTCAGTTTGAAATTGGTGGGATGACAGGGGCACACAGTGAAAAGTAAGCATGATCACCTTGCTAAAATCTCATTTTTTCCAATTTTCCAATACAAAATAAAATAGAATTCTTGATTTCCTGTTTTTTCCCCCCCAATAAAAACAACAGCAACCTTGTGTTTAGATGCTGTAAGAATTCAAGGACTCATGAACTGAATGTTAAAGAACTTAAATGTTTCCATAAATATACATACACATTTAGAATTTGGAAATTCATAAAACTGCAATTATTGGTAGGAAAGTGTCCCATTTAAAGTGCATTTTATTAGGATGTGGCTTCTGTTTAGAAGAGAAACTCTAGATCTGGATCCTGCCAGGGAGTTCTAAGGACATTGTTGGTGAAGAAAACAGGGTTAAACATGAGAAATATCTTCTATCTGCATAAAGCTTCCTTTCATTGTAAACATGGACATATAGCTTAGCCTAAGGTATTGGGGATACGTGGTGGGAATACAATTCAAAATTAAAATTCTTAATTGTGCACTTTTTTTGCCTTAAAAGTCACAGAGGTTAAAATTCCACCGCTAGGGCCTTTTAGCAAATCCTCCTAATCACAGCCTCGTCTCAGATAGATCTTATTAAGAACTCTGATTGTGTCAAGGATCAAGCTATCGAATATGTCTTCAGTTATTCTCATCTTCACAGTTAATTCATCATCACCATAGTAAGTCCACTGAGATTCTTCTTTGTGGAGCTCTTGAATCTAAAATATAATGTGAATATGAACATTTACTTCAGGAACAAGAGCATAATCAGTTCTGCAAGGTACAAGAAGCTGCAAGCCCAATCCAACAGCTTCATGCATGCATCAATTCAATTCCAAAACTAAAAAAAAAATGTGACCTCCTTTTCTAAAAAAGCCCAGTTAAACCACTCATAACAACTAACAACAGTGGATTATTATTGCAAACATACTGAAAAGGAAAACAATGACTTGAAGTTCTGCAGTTTTGACTCTTACATTTAAAAGTGAAATAAGCTCCACTTGGATGTCTGCTTACCAGAATGAGGTCCACTCTGTCTCTCTTACAGTTTCCATATTTGGTCATATTAAGGATTTTTCTTTTCATTTCTATGTCGTTCTTTTCCAAGTTCATTATTTTAATAATTTCACCCTGAACAAATGTCTACAAAATAAAAAAGGCTGAAAAGAATTGTTCTCATAGGAAATCTGTCATTGTGAAGGTGGCAAGTGACAGGCATGGTGCCACTTGAAAATTCAGCTCCAGATCTAGAGATGTCCCTAAAATTTAGCGAGTTGATTTGGAAGCAGCTGGTTAATAGTGATCAACACATTTTACACATAAGACTTTCATAACCTGGAAGACTTAGAAGCCCCATTCCCACTCCCCTACAGGGTTTCATGCACTTGGAATATTTAAGCCTAACTAATCAACTCAGTCTGTATTTATTCAAGCATTTCTGAACAAGGCTGTTCTCAGTTGTACTGCCATAACCCTCCCAGTTTTCACAGCTCTTTGCCATTTTGCCATTGCAATCTCTTCTCTCTTCATCGCGTCTCATTACTGCGCACTCTACACTTCCAGAATGTACCTTGACCTCATTGACATCTGCTTTTCCACCTAGACGCCTGGAACAACGAGATCCCAAATTTTCTTTCAGCCACGGATATGTGTTTGGATGTACAGTTGCATGATATTCTGCACATAGCAACTCATGAGTCAAATCAAATATAATCTGTAACAAAAAGAAAACATAACAGTTTTTGCACCAAAATAAACTGAATGCCCTTTCAAAGGTTTTCTTAGTGTTTGTGGAAGAACTCAAACTGGTAACAGGCGTGGTTAATAAGTTAAAAATAGTTAGTGCTCTAAAAATACCTGATTATACATCCTCTTGCTTTCTGTTTCCAAATTGTTCTCTGAGAAGTCATCATATTCACAATGCTTTGGCACACTGATTTTCCTGCAGTTTTCCTGCATGTTTTCTGGAGTCCATAATTCTTCTACAGCCTGAGCAGACAATTTCTTAACATATGAACTGCGATGTGGTACCACAAGAGGAACCTCCACGGTTTTCTTCCAAGGAGCTGAGCGCCACTGATCCAACTTGTACAAGTTTTGCTTTTGTGTTTGTCTCTCCAGAGTACGCTGGTCGGAATCAGGCTGATCAAAATCTTCAGAGCTTCCAAAAACACCAGCATCGAGGAGTTTTATAAGGAACTTGAGCAGGGAAAAAAGAAAAGCCAGACATAATATTGCATATTTTACATGATTTTTAGAGGTATTGAAATGCTTAGCAGCTGATTTATGGTTACACTTAAAGGAACAAGAATACTTGTGGTTCTCAAAGAAAGGACCACTGATGAGTTAGGAAAATGTCTATTTTTGAATGTATTTGGCAGAATTCAGAATTAGAATTTCAAATTTGA